ATTTTTAACAAAATTTGTTTAATTTTTTATCAATTTGTTGCGTGAGTAATATTCACGTGGTTTACAAAATTATGTAATTTTTGTTTGTTTTATTTTCAAACGCAATGTTTATATGAAACCATAGTACCAACCTAAAATAATTTCAGATATTTGAAATTATAATTGTATAATTTGATTACTTATAAAACCATCAGTACTACATTACTATGATATTTATAAATAATTATAATAGACTAATTTTTAATAAATATATTTAATTTATATTATTTTTCGTGAAGTCAGTGTAAGTTGTAGTTTTTTGCCGCAATGTTTGTACTGGTGCGATGGTGTGCCGTGTATCGAGCGTTCTGTGCGATCGACCCAAAATGAATATATAGCGCTCCTCTCGCCATTTCTTTCTCCTTCATACAATTTACTAGGGAACGCAACATTCATCATACTTCATAACAAACTACACGCGGCCATTTGCACGGCAGTCGAATGAAGTTGATAAAAGACTCTAGAAAGGTAATAAGTGAGGACATATATACGGTTTTGTCGCGTGAATCTGTATTTATTAAATAAACTAAACAAATAATAAATTAAATGAATGAAAAAATGTAGTCAACAGTGTGTTAAAGTGCTTGTTCTTTTCCTTCGACAAAATATTAAACATATTTCTGTTATGTGTGATTCACAAACATTTTTGACAGGTGTGTAGAATTTTAGTGTAATTGATTTCGTTATCAAAAGTGCCCGTGTTATGCGGTCCAAGAGAAAGGATTTTTGGAATCCTTGAATGAAAAAAAATGTAAGTTAATTCTTAAACTACTATATATTTCATGCAATTTGTAATAGAATTATTTTTCTGTATTCGGAAGATCGCGCCCCGACATTGTGCGTTTTAATATAGGGGAGTGTTCTAACTTGTCAAAGTTCTTGCCCTCACATCTATAATTAGATATATCATATACAAAAACTGCTCGAAAAATATGTAATATAATGATTTTTTCGTCGATTCATATAAAATTTTGATAGACTTTTTGTTACTTTGTCGAAACCGGGTTGAATTGTCAAATATCTTACCCTCAGTTCTATAATTAGATTTTTGGTTAGTACAAAAGAAATTTACGTCAGTCTGTAAGGCATATTGTGAAAAATTATTAAAAATAAGTATATTTTTAATTATAATTTATTCTTATTTTACTAATAAATACAGTATTTTTAGTAGTACAGTATTTTTAGTGTCATGATTTAAGTGTATCAAATTTATTTTATTCAGACTGAAGAATGTGTTGTCTTCTCAAACTTCATACATTACAATTTTATTACAAAATTAATGCAAGACATTTTCGAAAATATATTTTGATAAAAAGATTATTTATTTAGATTTTTTTATCAATATTAAAAAAATCTTATTTAACTTTGTGAAAGGTATTTCCTTGAAAGTCGAATTATTCTGATATGTAATTCAATCACATTCCAAAATTTTGGTATATATTATATAATATATTAGTAATATTAATGTTAAAGTATCATTTTATTCACACAGAAGAATGTGTTACCTTCTCAAACTCCACATAGTTTTATTACAAAATTAATACAAGACGTTTTAGAAAATATATTTTGACAAAAAGATAATTAACTTATTTAGATTTTTATGTCAATATTAAAATCACTTTTTTAACTTTGTGAAAGGTATTTCCTTGCAAGTAGGATTACTGTATTTATCATTCTGATATGTAATTCAATCACATTCCGAAATTTTGGTATATATTATAAATTTGGAAATATTAATGTTATAATGTAAATGTATCATTCATTTTATTGAGACTGAAGAATGTGTTGCCTGCTCAAACTCCATCCAGTTTTATTACAAAATTAATGCAAGACATTTTCGAAAATATATTTTGACAAAAAGATAATTAACTTATTCAGATTTTTATATCAATATTAAAAACACTTTTTTTAACTTTATGAAAGGTATTTTCTTGAAAGTCGGATTATTATATTCCTGATATGTAATTCAATCACATTCCAAAATTTTGGTATATATTATATATTTGGTAATATTAATGTTATAATGTAAATGTATCGTATTTATTTTATTCAGACTGAAGAATGTGTTGTCTTCTCAAACTCCATACATTACAATTTTATTACAAAATTAATGCAAGACATTTTCGAAAATATATTTTGACAAAAAGATAATTAATTTATTTAGATTTTTATAACAATATCAAAAACATTTTTTAAATTTTCATTCTTCTTTATTCTTCATTCCTCCTTATTCTTCATTCTTCTTTATTCTTCATTCCTCTTTATTCCTCATTCCTCTTTATTCTTCATTCTTCCTTATTCTTCTAAATATGAGCTTCTGCAATTCTAATCTTGCTTTTCTTCTTACTTTTATTTTTTATTCAAATTCTACTCAACAAATCAAATTCTATTTAATATATAATTTTAATGTTAAAATATGCAAGTTTTCATTTGTAAATACAAATTGTAGTAGTGTAAATCTTTATTATTCGACATATTATCTCAAATTCTCGTCTGCGTAATGTAAATTAAAATGTTTCTAATCAATTCATAATAATAATAAATACTCACAATGACACTACTAAACTATTTCTTGTCAGTTCAAATACGAAAAAAATATATTGAATTTCTTAATGATAGGTAAAGGGTGTCTTGTTTTTCTGTCCGGATCTGATAAGAAAGTGAATCGGGTTTTTGTTCATTTGTGCTGGCTTGTTTTTCATAGTATTCATTAAAAATTTAATAATGAAAATGTTTTTTCTGCATTCAAAGTATTGAAAATGTCTTTTTCATTCTTATATGTAATTCAATCACATTTCAAAAAATTATGATCTTACCTTTAATTCGGTATTCCAAAATGTGTTGCATGGAACTACTTATTTGCAATCTATTCTTTTTATATGAACATCTTTTGAGATTTGGTTCAAGTCTTCATAGACATCATAGATCAATAAGAATATAATAATTTGTCAAGGCTTTCATCCTTTATTCTATAAATAGAAGTATCATTTCGAACAAAACTTTTGTTGCCGTTTTGTCATCTGTATATCAGTCAGTTTGTCACAGCTGTTTTTCTCCTAAAACGAGACCAGAGTTTTGAAACATATGTAAAAAGACAAGAAAAATCTGGTAAAAATGCACTTTTTATTTAAAGAAAAAATGAATAAAATGTTTCAGCTGAAATCAACAGTACCTACTAGTAAAGAAATTGATTACATATTCAACAAGATACTCTAATTTGCATTAGAATCCTTTAATTGCAAAGCTATTTTTCAGTTCATTTATCTATCATCAGACAGCAAGAAATGAATTTGATGATTTTGTCCTCGAAATATATTTATTTTATATTTAAATGTGTATTTATTGTCCTACATTAAAACATCTGTATCTACTATTTCCAATACAGTATTGTCAATATGTGGTACTTCAACATGCCATCTGTAATTTTAATTATCAAAATTATTGTCTCACAATATGAAAATACACTTACGACCATCATCATGATGACTTAGAGTACTCTAAGTATATTTATATTTCCTTTTAAAATATAAGTGTTCGTAGAAAATCTTAGATAGTTCATTTGTATCGCATTTCCACATTTTTCTATCATTATTTTTATTAAAAATTCAACATGTTGATATAAAAACCTTAGGATTTTCATAATTATTTGATTGGTTCTATTATACTCATTTTGCACATTATTAGAGATGATTTTTATTCTAATTGCTCATATCTTCTTAATACATTTAACGTATTATTTAATGCAGAGGCTTCCGACCTTTTTTGCACAGACCTCCCCCCTCCTTCTCTAATAAAATAAAATATACTCCCTTTAATTTTTTTAACAATTTAATTTTATAAACAATCAACTGATATTATCAGACTAGACGTCATAACAGCTAAACGCTACTGATTTTGAGATAGGGTCCATTTTTATCCACTTATTTTTTAGTTGGTGGAATCTTTCCTTTTTTTATAATTTTTTCTTCGCTTGTATTTTTGATTTTCGTACTCACATGTTGCTGCCTTATTTTTATTTCTGTCTTTTTTGATCATTCGAAGTTGATAATATTTCTTATACTAATATTTATAGTATTCTGTGCAATGACTTGTGACAATTAAAGAATAAACTTACTTGACGATAATGATGATGTGATGATGATGATGCTGATAGTTTCTAAATAACGGAATACCATCTAGGCCGATCATATGAAATATTAAAATAGATGCAATTATGTTCTAGTTAAAAAATATATGATCGAATTTGGTGTATTGAAGAAAACTACATACTTCGCAAGGTTCTTGAGCTAGCTCATTCAATTTTGATATATTTTACTATATTATTTTTTTTTTATTAAACAAATTTAAATATTACTTATTTATTAGATAAAGTTAATAATAATATAACTATATACAAGATGCTTAGTATAGTCAATACCAAACAGTCAATTATCCATTAACTCAATTCATTGTCAATGTCTTATGCTCTGTATCAAGTCGTAGGTTGTAATTTATGGAGGAAGATAATGATTTTCAAAACTATTTATTTAGATATTATATAAGGCCTATTATTGGATTATTGCCTCTTATGTTAACTTACAACTTGCTTATTATAATTTATAAGTTATAATAATTTGCTTTGTTTTTACATTTTGCTAAAGTATCTTTAGAATACATTAATTGTACCTAAATTCAAGAAAATGTTTACAATGATCATCTTTTATTCTATATATTTTTTTAATGTTGTTAGGTGTCTGAAAAGGTTAAGAATCTGAAAATATTGTAGATTGTTTAAAAAACTGTTTTAGATTGTTTGAAAAGGTTGTAAGGTGCTTAAAATTGTTGTACACAGTTTGAAAATTTTGTTGATTATTTGAAAATATTGTTGAATGTTTGGAAATGTTGTCGAATATCTAGAAAGTCCGAAATAGTTGTAAATTGTCTGAGAATGTTGCGAGTCGTCCGAGAATGTCTATCTATGCTTCAAGAGTATAGAAAAATCAAAATGGCTACTGTTTGATTTTTTTTTATTTTTTTATTTCCATTTATGAATTACAATCTGTCGTTACAAACAACATTCAGTAATTTTAATGGTACTACGAGTAATTGTACATATTATAGGATTACTAGAGAATGTCAAAAAGAGGCTGTTTTCTTCTGAGCCGTTCAATGCCATGGTTATTTATTAAGTTTTTGGCCATGATGTTTGGGTGGTTCTGTATTCTATCCTTGTATCTTAGACTGAACTTTTCAATTTTTTCCTTAACTGTGTTTATGTTCAAATCTGTTTGAACCAACCAATTAGGGACATACTTGGGTGCGTTTATAATTTCTTTCAAAATCTTATTTTGAAATCTTTGGATTATGGCGATGATGGATTTGCGCGCCGTTCCCCAAAGCTGTATTCCGTACGTCCAAATTGGTTTTAACATGACTTTGTACAGAAGAAGTTTGTTTCATGTGCTCAACCGAGATTTTCGGTATAACAACCAATATAGACTGTTTGGAAAAATGATCTCGAATATTTAAAAATATTTAACATTGAAATTTGGGAATGAAACAGACGGTTTTGAGAAAAACTTTTTTAAAGTTTTGCAAAAGGAAGCAAACAGGAGAGCTGTATCTCCGAAAATAATTAAAACTTTTAAAAATCCTCTCGGGCATCTTATTTTGATTGTATCCAAAACCAACCAATAATAAGTACCAAGATTACATTTTTTAAAATACAAGATAAAAGCTAGCGAGCAAAATGTATGAAAATCTTAACTAAAA